TTTCTATTTTAAACTGAATGGGTTGCTTTACAAGTTGAGCGTTTACGATCACTTTAATCCACCAATATATCAGTTGAGTATAGTAACCACCAAAGGATTTCCCCAAATATGAATAGAGATGTTAAGTAGCTCTATATTCTATCAATATTTAGCGTTCCATAAAGATTTGGCATGTGACTTCACACATTACTTGGACCCTGGGACCATTCATTTATAGAATCAGCACATACAAAGACCCGGCTGGCACCAATTTAAAGCAGGTGGGCAGATACAGTACAGGCTACACCTCTAGATAATATGAAATATTTTGATACATGTGCAGATAAAATCAGTATAAGGGGTAGTTGTCCGTGAATGGTCCTGCCGCCTCTTGGGACGTCTCTCAGGAGACTGGGGGGGGGCGTGGAGGGCCCAGAACTTCCGCTTGGATAAACTAGACAGAGTGGGAGTGGGTACCTGTCAAAACTAGGTACCCTCTCCTAGGAAGAAAAAAAAAAACAACCAATATATGCAGAGATTGGGGCAAAGGGCAACCAGTGAAACTTGGTATGTAGGAAGTGAAGTTTGCTTTTTAGGCTACATGATTGATCATTATTGTTGGTTTATGGTCAACTTTTAGATGAAACATTCTGCCAATGGAAGGTCATTTCATGGTTATTCATGGTTTGAGGTTAGTTGAGAATCAATTAAACTTTTTTTTTATCCAGCTGACCACCTTTTTTGTGCAGTGAAGATAAAATTGAGCTTATATCCCATGATGGTTTACACTATACCATACAGAATATGTGATACATATAACAAAGCAATGTGCTGGCACCAACAAACCTGCCTAGATTTTCAGAGTTTTAAAAGTAAAAATCTTGCTGAAGATTGCCTGGCACCTGATATGCACAAGCAAATTTCAGTCAATGACTCTCTCAAATAATGACAGAAGAAGCAGTTCAGCTTTGTAGTACGTACCTTTGAAACAAGTCGGCAATTGTACTGTTACTTGCATCCCGACAAACCCACTTAATTCTGGAAGTACAAAACTGCAGTGGTCCTTCCAATATATGGTTTGTTTTTCAAAATTAGCTGAAGAACCTGATTGGCTTATGTAAGAAGAGATCGACATGGGCACCACAGCAGCTACGAAATTGGCATTGTGTACTATCACTAGCAGACTCCGTTTTTAAACCAGTTGTACTTGCACCCTCAAAAGTACTTTGCACCCACAGATCTTAAAGCAGCCTTTCTCAAACTTTTTAACATTAAGGAACCCTTAAAATTGCTTTCTGGGTTCAGAGAACCCCCACTTATACTTACAATATCTACAGTTCACAGTACGTTAGTGTGATGGTCATTGGGAAGAATGCTTCTTGAATTTGTGGTCATTGGGTAGGATCCTCCTATACAGCTACAAAGATTATTGTTGTCAGTAGTTACACATCTGAGAGGCAAAAGTTGCTCATTTCTCAAGGAACCACTAGCAACTTCTGGAGAAACCCTAGTTTGAAAGACTGCCTTAGAGGGTAGTAAGACATGCAGAGTGTACTTTTGTAGCACACTGTAAAGGTAAAAAATGAATGCTTGCGGAGGGTTAGGGGAGAATGGTACCAACAAACGTGGGCTCACCCTTGTATTTTCAGTTGTGGAACTCAAAAGCATGTAGCAGCAGATCATTCTAAATTTGTTGCCAAAGTCCCTTTAATCTGTCCTTGCCCCTGTCCACTGTCTTTATTTTTATTTATCATAATCCCACCCCAATGACTTCTGAATTGATTTAAGCATAATCAATAAGTGTAGCCTTGCTGGTTTTATGTTTTATGGTCTATTAATACTTACGGTCTAATTGACTAAAGTTCTAAATTGTGTTCCTTGCTTTAATTGTATACTTTGGGGAGAAAAATCTTTTTCAAGCAAGGAATGGTAGCAATCCCTAAATGAAATTCTCTGTAGATGAAAGTATCAATTTTCTTGTTGTTTGCACTGTAAAATGATTAATTGCTCTTTTTGGTTAAGTAATTTATTTTTTTTATCCATTTGCAACCTAAGTGTTTGTACTACTGAGAGGGAGCAGCTGTCAAAAAATTAACCAGCTGAGAGCCGTTGTCAGCATTCATTCTGGTTTAATAAATGGCTCTCTGTAGATATTTAGCAGCCTGTAATCTAGATAAAAAGCTGTTGACCTATGATGGATAATACTGGCTTTTGTTTGTAAGTTCTGGCTTGAATTGTCCTCTTAATTTGTTTCAGGTCATATCACAGGATTTCTTGACTTCATTATTCTGTACCGTGGATAAATACAGCTCAAGGATTAGTAAAGTATCATTGCAAATAATTAATAGGCTGTTTTTCCGAGTCAAGCATTATGAACTAAAAGAAACCACAATATAACTGGACGATGATATTTGGCAAATACAGCAATAATTAGTAGGTTTTTCTCACATTTTAGAGTAAACCATTCATAAACCTGGTCAACTCATACTAAAGCGTATGATTAAAAATATAACCTTCAGTGAATACCACATATCAAAAAGGTCAATAGATCTAATAAAATACAATTCTTTTCTGCATTGGTTAGCATTGGCTCCAATACAATACCTCCCTATTGACCCATAAGTTATGGGAGCCTCTCTGACGAATAGGAAGCTCGGAATGAGGCAGGGCTAAGCTCAACTTTGAAAGGAAAAGATGAGATTCGCATGTAGCTTCAGCTAGCTATAGTTGTGCATTTACTAATTTTGTGGACATGATTTTCAATGAAGGTAACCACTGCTTATGCATTTCTTTTTATATATACCTCATTTTACTCTAGCGACCATAGAAAAAGTACCCCACTTTGAAAGGAAACCTTTCTTCAGGGAAACATGGAGGCTGACATTCCTCCAAAGCTAATGGCCACTACTCAGTCCTCTTACTCCTTGACCTTTCCTCGGCCTTTGACACAGTCGACCACCCCCTCCTCCTTAACAAACTACACTCCCTTGGCATCAGAGACTCCGCTCTCTCCTGGCTCTCCTCCTATCTATCCCAATGCTCCTTCAGCATTACCTATAACGCTATCACCTCCTCCTCTCTCCCCCTCTCTGTTGGGGTCCCCCAAGGCTCGGTCCTTGGGCCCCTTCTCTTCTCCATCTACACCTCCTCCCTCTGCAAACTGATACACTCCCCACGGCTTCAACTATCACCTCTACGCGATGACACGCAAATTTACCTCTCCACCCCTCGCCTTACCCCTTCAGTCTCCGCACGTATCACCCACCTACTGAACGACATATCAGATTGGTTGTCGCTCCATTTCCTCAAATTGAACTTTTCCAAAACTGAGCTCCTGATTTTCCCCCCAGCCCGTGCCCCCCCTCTCCATCACGACCAACAACTCCACCATCAGTCCCACCCACAAGCCAAAGTCCTAGGTGTCACTCTAGACTCAAACCTGTTCTTCCAACCCCATGTCCAATTGTTGGCAAACTCATGCAGGCTCCACCTCCGCAACCTCTCCAAAATACGTTCGTTCCTAACCCCAGACACTACTAAACAACTCATTCACTCCCTTATTATCTCACGTCTGGACTACTGCAACTCCCTCCTCACCAGCCTACCCCAACACAGACTATCCCCGCTTCAGTCTATCCTGAACTCAGCGGCCAGACTCATCCACCTTACCAACCGCTCCTCTTCTGCCACCCCCCTCTGTCATTCCCTCCACTGGCTCCCGATTGCCCAACGCATTAAATTCAAACTACTAACACAGACATACAAAGCCATTCATAACACTGCCCCAAACTACCTCACCGACCTGATACCCAAATACCACCCAACCCGTAATCTTCGCTCCTCACAAGACCTCCTACTTTCTAGCTCCCTGGTCTCCACCTCCCACGCTCGACTGCAGGACTTCTCCAGGACTTCCCCCATCCTCTGGAACTCACTACCCCAATCCATCAGACTGTCACCTTCCCTCCTCACCTTTTATGCGCACCCTGAAAACCCATCTCTTCAGGGAAGCCTACCCCGCCCTCATCGAACAGCCGATCTCCTCCACTCCTCCTACCACTCCATCCCCCACAGCCACTTCCTCCTGTACCACTATCCCCTTCCTCTTAGATTGTAAGCTTGAAAGAGCAGGGCCCTTGAATCCCTCGTGTTTTGTTTTGTTACTGTATTGTCTCATGTTCTGTCCCCCACTATAATGTACAGCGCTGAGCAAACCTTTTAGCGCTATATAAATACTGTATAATAATAATATAATAATTCCTTATTCTACAAATGCTAGTTGCCTGGCTTTTAGGCAGATTTCTACAGCTGCAATAGTTTGAATTACACTCTTTGAATAAGTGTGCTTTTAAGGACTTCTAGCTCTACACTGACTTTCCAGATTTGCATAATTGTTCTAGGTCTGGTATTTAGAAATTATTGAAACTGCTGGTTTAGCATAATAAGCAGGCAGGAGGAGATTAGTAATGGTAGGCCCTGTATTTTTTTTTAAATATTTACTTTAATTCTAATGGAAAGGAAGTGCTTAGGTAGGCTTAACAGGAGAATTCATAGTGGGTATCACAAACTTCACAGCAAATGCAATGATGAATCACTGAAATCATTCAACTTGGCTCTTGATCCCTCTTTCAGAACAGCTGCACTGTTTTTTTTTTTTTTTGTTTTTTTTTTATAGCGATTTAGAAGGTTGGAAGGCTGCTGAGTCACTATTGGAAGGGGGGAACAGGGTAAGCAAAACTACACAGAGAATAAGTTTAGTGCTTGTGTTTGTAAGTTTTGAGGATTACAACAATGGCTCCACTGTGCCTGCAGCTACATAAGTTAGTAAGGGTTTGTTTTAACCTTCATTTACTGCTCGTTTATGTATATGTAAATTTTCGAATGTTCACATCCATGCCTCAGCTATACTGTAAAAGTGAGCTGTCTTTTGCCACTGTAGTATAATGGTTCTGGAGTAAGGATGCATTTCTTTCTTTTCTTTTAAAGGTGTTGGCGCTGCCAAATCTGGGAACCTCACATTTATGGTTGGTGGAGTTGAGCAGGAATTTGATGCTGCCAAGGAACTTTTGACATGTATGGGAGCCAACGTGGTTTACTGTGGAGAAGTTGGAACAGGGCAGGTATGCTTTACACTTCCTAAATTAATGAGAATTGTCATGGAAAACGTAAGAACAAAATATGATGTTTTGTAAATGGTTCCATTTGCTACATGGTATTAGTTTTTCATTTTCTGCTAACCCCTTTAATTCTCTCATATGCTCTTATGCTCCCTGCCTATTAATGACAAAGTTGCTTTGTCATTCTAGTCCTTATCAGCTTTGCTGTCTAAGGCTTCTTTCACACCAATTCTAAAATGTGACCAAAATGCATATGCGTTTTTACTGTGTTTGCAGTGCATTTTTTTACAGAACACAGGACTCATAAAACCACACCAAAAATGCAATGCAGGTGTGTTTTTCATTTGTTTTTGCTGAGTTTTCAATTGATTTCAATGGGGAGGTGCATTTATTTATTTTACCGCAACAGAATTTTAAAAACGCACCGGACCTGCAACAGATCAGCGTGAAGAGTTTTATCGATATACTTGGTCACACATTTTTCTTCTGCTTTTTTATTAATGCAAACGTGGAAGAAAAACGGATCAGTGTGAAAGCAACCTAAGCCTGTACTCAACTTGAAAAAAGATCTTGAGCATATTGCATGTACACCTGGTGCACCACTTTATCAATCTTGTTTTGCCAGGCCTGAAAGCAGGGATGGAAAAAGCCTCCAGGCAAGCTATCTTTTCCCCTTGGGGATCCCTAAGCCTGGCTTTTAGGGTGCCAGGCCAGCAACACAGCCAATAGTAGTATATATGTCAATGATTGTCTCCGTGCTTTTACAGCACCTAGGCAAAAGTGTAATAATCTCATAGCTCCTCCTTTTTGCTACCCCTACATTTTGTCAGGTGACAGGATGACCATTCATTAGATGAATCTGTGTAGGCAAACCACTAGGCCTGCGAGAAAGAACTTGGTGGTTGAGATGATTAATGATGTTCCCAATTGTTGTAAGGCATAAGACAGTAGTTCTCACACTATATACCACTGACAACATTTGTGTCACTAACCTGGGATTCTGTTGCCCAGGCTTAGGCACACTTCCAGGATTGACATCCTGTTGGCCATGGAGTCTTTTTTTTTTTTTTTTTTTTTTTTTTTTTTTTTTTTTTTTCTAGCCCTACAATACAAGTATGCTTGAATGCTGGAAACCATATCGGTAACCAATAAACACCATCCCCTCAGTGATACCTGTAACAGCTGATGGGTGGAGAAGAGAACTGTATATATGACTGCTGTGGGAAGGTGGCAACTATGTATGTCAGATCTAAGGTGCATTATTGCTGGTTCGTAGAATTGTGGAGGATTTGTTCAGACTTGCTCATGAGTTAATGGCTATTATACTCCAATCATATTAAAGCAAACCTCACCCCCCCCCCCCCCCCACACACGTACACACACACTAAAAATCCCTGGTGCATACAGCTCTGCATGCTAATCTCAAAACATCTTTTGTTCATTAGGTAAATAAAAGATTTATTCTGTTACTTACATTTACTTTAATCCCACTTCTGGTTTATTGAGGCACTGGTAATGTGCCAAGGCCTCACAGCTGCCACAATAATGAACAGTGTCTGATCAGTGCATGTGCAAAATCTGGCTCTGACGTCATTGCTGGGCCAGCAGTAAAAACATGAAAAAACATCCACCCACCAATGACACCTACCAGTCAAAATGGTGGCATGGGATTTTAGAATAAGAGTATTGGTGTGTGGCAATGTAGAAACAAGGAAGGAAAGACATCTTAGGTGTTTATTTTGCTATAGAAACCGCTATCAGTAATACTGGCACTTTTATATGGGGGGGGAATTGAGAAATCCAGTTTAAGATGATCATTGATTGCACTCTATCCAGAATTTCCAAAATATTTTATAATGAATTGATGGAGTCTAATGTCAACACTATATACCTGTTCTGTAGTTACTATTTATTAAAATGAAACTATTTGTAACTTTTTTTTTTTTTTTTTTTTTTTTTTGGCCTGTCAACTACAAATCCCCTCCTCCAGTCTCAATCAATGCCCCATTCTCCTGTGGACACCTCAAAAGCAGCTCTAACTGGTAGTCAATCAACTTGTATTCAGGCTGTCAGCATGTAAATGTTGACATTATCCAGCCCAGACCATTGTCTTGTTTTTAGACTAGACATCTGTGACTTTGGCTGATCAATGAGAAATGAAAAACTTACTTTGGTAATGCACTTTAATTGTTGAGAAAGCGAGTGCACAAATTACCACTGAGCAAAGGTTTGCTTATATTTTACAAAGGGCAAATAAATAACCTCATAACTTGTTTTCACAATCTCATTAATATTTGCTTGTTTGCAGGCAGCAAAAATTTGTAATAACATGTTGTTAGCTATTGGCATGATTGGCACAGCAGAGACCATGAATCTTGGAATAAGGTAAGTGATATATGAATTTTTAATTTTTTGGGTACAATCAGTAATGTTTAGAACTATGCAAGGGCACTGAGTTTTGGGCAAATAAATTGCAATTTCAAATAAATTTGATGTTTTCAAATCCTTTTTCGCTTGTGTGTGCGTCTTCCTTTTTTTTTTTTTTTTTTTTTTTTTTTTTTTTTTAAGAGCCCCCAAACTTTCTAAACAAAGGGCCAGTTAAATGCCATTCAGACCTTGGGGAGACTGGACTTCGAGCCAGTGAGAAAATGCCTCAGTATCTTTGAGAGTAAACCATGCCCCAAGCTTGGGGGTCAGTGGGAGTAGTAAAAATGGAGATATTCCTGTTCTAAAATCCAAAATACTTACGTGTGTGTGTTTGTTATTTTGTAATATAGATAGATAATATAATTTTATTGTATTTTTATTTTTTTTCAAGCAAACATTTGCATAAAACAGGAATTATTTTTTCAGATGCTTTAATTTTAACTTATCAAACCCATGTAACATCTCATGTGTTATATACAGTTTGTAAGAATTTTGGATTTGAGCACGAGCTTAGTGACCAGACTGGAGTCTGTAGCTTTCCACCAACTGTGTCTGTCTGCCATTATTGCCACAAAATTTCCGTTAAAGTATACTATAAGCAACTAAGTATCTGGTGTTTTGCATAGTAAAGTGGGGAGTGGTTAGAGGGGGATCACTTTGATGCAGTTGGGCAGTTTGAACATGGATTGCAATATATGCAACAAAGAATCCCTGTTTTGTTTGCAATATATAAAAATGTTTATCAGTGTGTGTGTGTAGGGTTCATTTTAAATTTCTGGAGTAAAATAAATGCAGGTTTGGGGAGCAGTGAATAAAAAAATTTAATTAGTGAGGCAAGAAATAATTCCCTGTGCTGGTATCAGTGGAAGGAATAGTGCTACATTGTTGCTATCAGTGGGAGAAATAGTACCCCATCATTGGAGTCTGTGGAAGCAATAGTGCCTCAATGTTGATAACTGTTGTAGTCCACCTATGTTACATCTTGCTATATGTTGCAGTTCTCCTGCAGCCACTTTGTCTACATGTATCCCAATGATGGTTGCATTACATTTTTCTAGACCTGTGCTAAGTACGTCAGCATGGTTACCTGTAGTTTTCACTGGGAGAGCATATGGCAGTGTCAACACAAGAGCACAACTGGAAGACATAGAGCATTGTCATCCAACAAGAAATATCTGAACAAGAACTTTGATGACAGATCAGCTGAAGATTTAAAGTACTGAAAATAACTCTTAGAATTTCAATAACATGTTAGGGTACTGTTGTCTGACCCCGCTCCCTAAGTCTTGGTGAGGGGACAGCACAATGATGCAGTTACACTTTAAAGCTTTTACCAGGTTTTAGGAATTGGGTTTACATATACTTTAACTTTCCAGACTCCACAAAGAACTAAGATTACAGTTTTTTGGTGAAATTACCCTTTTAATTAGGTTATGTTAAAATGTACATATAGTGGAGGTTCTTATTCTTTATAATGAAGCTGTTTTATTGCTGTCTGTTACCCTTACCCTTTACCCTTGCTTTCTATTATATTAATAAGAGTAGATGAAGTGCAAACCCCCTGGCTGGGACATATATAAAAAAACGGTTTAACCCTTACACTCTGTTTAACACTACGACAAATACATTTTAGCTGAAGCAACCTAAAATGCAAGCATGACATCAGTTTTGGGCTGGCCTTCATTTTATTCTTCAGACCAGTTTAGAGCATAGCATTGTCCTGTGTGAGCACTACACTTTGTGTGGTTCTATAAAGAGGTGTAAAAGGCAGTAAACTTATTGACTTCTGCTTGCCTCAATATTCATGTCTTTATGATTGATTTTAGTTTTCTTGTACAGATACCAGAAACCTCTGTGTGAGGGAAAGTTAACTTCATAATTTTTACCACAGGGGAAGGCTTAATGTATGGTTTGTAATTTAAAATAAATAGGCCTACATGTTAAAGAAACATTCCAGGTATGGCATTTATACGTAGCTACATTGGTCCAGAGTGGACCAGTGTAACTAGGCATATACTATATTTGACAGACCCAACTGGGACAGGGGCTTTTGGAGGGGACTGCAGGCTAGCCTCTTGCCTATTGACCATGGCTCTATTCTTTGGTGTGTGCCTGCGGGGACCTTTGGAGTTGTTTACTTTGTATTCAAGTCCATGTCTCCTCAAAACACACAGAGTCTGAGAACTGGAGGACCGTGATACAGATTTGAGATTTGGGGTCTCTGTGCCCAAACCAGCATTGACTGCTTTACCCCCCCCCCCCCCCTTCCCAGTCTCAGAGACTCTAAGAAGATGTTAATATGTTCAGCTCAATATAAACCTGATTGTGAGGACTCTTTATGTAATCTGTTTAGTAAGGTGTTATGTATTTACTGTCTTTTTCCCATTGTGTGCCTCCTAAGTGTGTGTTAGGGACCAGCCGGTGGTAGCCTCTAGTGGCCCACAGACCAGAATTCCCCAGGGTGCGGAATCTAAGTTCCGACCTGCTTGTTCACCAGAGCCCCTGATGGTGGGGATGAACTTGGAGCAAGCCGAGACCAGGTCGCGACCCCTGGGTGCAACCAGCTGTGGTAGAGGCACCTGTCGGTGGTACGCAGCAGGTGAGAGTCTGATGTGAGGAGGTAGAGTAAGCGAGGTCAGACAGGCCAGGTCGGTAACAGAGGAGCAGGTCGGTACAAAACAGCAGGCAGAAGAATAAACGGGTCACAGTCCGGGTTTGGCAACAGGAGATCAAAAGTGCAGGAGCAGGCAGGAGAATGGTCAGGCAAGCCAGGAGTCAGAGCAGGAGAAGTCAGCAGATCAGGATCAGGCAGGGTCAGCAGCAAAGTAAACTCACAGGAACACAGGAAAGACCATACGGCACTTGAGCATTGCAAGAGCTGAGTTTAAATAGCCCGCCCGACTCCTGACAGGCGCTCCTGGGTCCTAATGCTTGCCCGGCGCCGTCATTGGTGACTGGCGCGCCTGGATCCTAGTGCCCACCTGCCTGTGCGTTTTGTCAGGACTCTACGCATGTGCGGATTTGATCGCCGCAGCGATCTTCCCATTCCCTGACATTGTGTTTACCATTGTTAATTGAGTCACCTATTGTTTCTGTTGGCAAGCCCTCTTGAAGCTCCTGCATGATGAGATTACTCTGATGTCAGCTTCACATTGTTCTCTAATCAGCGTGAGATATTTATCCTAATGTATAATATTTGTGGGTATTGTTCATGTGGGGACTGCCTCTATTTGTGAAGTGTATAAATACCTGTGATTTCTGTTCAATAAAGTAGTTGAAGTTTGACATCTAAGGTAGTCTCGTCTACTCTTGAGTGCAATGCCCAGCTATAATACCTTGGCCTGTGTCCCAATGGCAAGAAAGTGGTTCTCTGACTGAGTCACCTAATCAGGGTGACAGGCGTTCCGTCACACTATACCTGTGGAATCTGGAAACTGGAAATACATTTTAGTAGACACCACTACTCAAGTGATCTCACTAGCTTCCAGGTCCCAAGCCAGTCTAATTAAACAAGAGAAGCTAGGAGGATGGCACTGTACATATCTGATGGCTCGTTGCAAAGATGTGGCCAGCAGTGAAAAGGGATTCGACCAGAGATGATCCAAACAAAACCTCAGCTTGGAGCAGGCCGCTGCTATCCAGCCAAGGTGGGTAAACAACTGGGGTGGAGGGGGTTTAGTGTTAGTAATCTTAGCTTACGGAGTGTACTGGGGCATGATGTTGCCAGGGAAGCACAATGTTGGCATTATAGTGTTACAAATATGTCTGGTACCACAAACCACCTTCCTCTCTTCTTCAACATTAATGCATGATAATCTGCACTGTTTGCAGGTTGATCTCTGATTTTCTGTGGCTCTCATGCTTTAGCACAATGTAGACATGTTTTCATTCATTCCCTCACTAAACTGCCTATATTCTCCCATTTCTGTTATCTTATTGGCCTTCCCTAACTGTTAGCCAGTTCAATGAAGGGATAAATGCACTGCTTAGCTGCATGAGATCAGGAATTGGTTTATTCCCACTAGCCACAGTCTGTCCTCCCTAATGCCTGAAGGACAGAAAACTGTCCCTTTGCTTAGAATACTCCAGTGGTGACCACTGGAGTATTTTATTGATTAAAAATACCAATAGAAATGACAAGGTTGTCCCAAGTGGGAGGGGGCATGCAGACACCTTTTAGGCATGGGCTTGCTATGTCTATTTCTAAATATGTCCCAGCCTTGTTGGGCTCAGGTTGACCTCTGGGATTCTGAAATGTTGGTTTGCTTTCTATGGTGGCATTATACTAATTTAAATCTCTTGTTTTTATATTGTAAACTAGTTAAAAGGATTTCTCCACTTTAATAAGGAAAAATATTAATAATTGAGATTCCATCTGAGCTAGATTTGAGAATCAACCACAGTAATAGCAGTAATAGTATTATTATTAATTCTAATTGACTCGTTTTGGGTGGATTTACATCACTTGTCCCTATAGGCACTTGGCTCTTTTATATCCAGGGGTGTGGACATTTTTGAAAAAATTGATTGTCCAGGGACTAAAACGGTGTCCCACTCTACCTGTCCTGATAAAAAAGAAAAATATAAATTTTAAAACCAAAACTTTATTTAAATCTGAGGTGATTTTAGGAATGTCTGGGGCTTTTTTTTAACAGCAAAAGATGCTTTATGGAGACTTACACATGTAATATTTTTAACATTGCGCTGCTTATCCCCTCCTCCTCCCCTCCCTGCCTGTCTCCAGCACTGCACCCGGGAGGGAAAAGGGAGGGTAGAGACCTTGCAGTGTAATGAGCGCTGATTGGGTGCTCGTCAGGGAAGGGGAGTGTTGGGCTTATCCTTTATCCCTTTCGCTGCCAGAGCTGTTTTTGCACAAGTTTAAAAATCATTTTAGGCCTTAAGATTACATAAAACCCCCAAACATATATTTTCTGAAAGCAGAGACCCTAGAGCGTAAA